ATCCCAATTCCGAAGTCTGTGGGAAACTTCATTGCCAAATAGTAAGTGGAGACCACAACACGTAGGGCCTGGGTGATCGTCCGACCTACTATGGCATTGTACGGGGAGGGGGTTGCGACCACTAAGAAATCGTGGTTGAGCCTCACTATGCTAGGCCAAGTTCCGATTTCCACAGGTACTGTAATCCTTCCCAGGGGCCTAACTTCCTCTCCGCTGAAACCAACCAGGGGAGTATTTGCGGGCTTCCGGTCGCTTTCTTGGAGCTGGAGCTGGTCGAATGCTACTTTGAAAAGGATATCCACCGAGCTGCCCGAGTTGACAAGGACACGCCTGACTTCAAAGTCGTTAATCATTACCTTTATGACGAGCGCGTCATCATGGGGGTAGTGGACACTGCGTGCGTCGTCCTCTATGAAGAAGATCGGGTCTTCCATCCTTGGCCACTTCGGGGGATTTTGCTCTTCCCTAGCGGCCTCGTGAGCTGATGCCTGAGCTGCTGCCGAAGTGCAACCCGCGACAATTGAACCTCCAACGATCACGTGGATAGTCCCCCGAACTGGTCTCTCTTCTAGGGGCTGCCTCTGCGGTTTCTCTGCCTACCTGCTAGGTTCGGGAGCGTCTCTACTATGCTCCCCCTGCCGACCTGCTTTATTATTATTATTAATCTATACAAAATTTCTCAGGTATCCACGATGGAGGAGCTCCTCTATCTCGTCGCGGAGGTTTTTACAGTTTTCAGTACTATGACCGTGGTCTTTATGGAAATTACAATACAAATTTTTATTCCTTACATTAGGGTCTGCCTTCAACCGAGGTGGCCACTTCATATACGGGGCGTCCTTGATGGCCATAAGGATCTCGGCCCACTTCGCTTTCAGGGGCGTGTAGTCTGCCCTTTCTGCTGTCGAAGCTCGGAAAGGCTGTCCTGGCCTTGCCCCCCGAGGTTGGTCCATCTTCTTCTTACTACCCTGGGTTGAGGGCTCTGTCTTCCTTTTTCTTTTCTCAAGGGCCTGTTCACCTTTCTAGTTGATCTCCTCCTCCGTCCCTATAAACTGATCCGCGAGCTTGAGTAACTCGGTCATAGTCTTGGGTTGATTAACAACCACATGCCACTTGAATTCTTTATGGGTGATGCCTCGCTTGGCCGCAGTGAGCCGAACTGCAGGGTCCAGGTCGGGTATTTGCATACAAGCATCGTTGAATCGCTTGATATAGCTTCGGATGGACTCCCCTTCCTTCTGGGCTATGCCAAGGAGGCTCTCTTGAGTTCTTGGGCATCTCTTGCTGGTGACAAAGTGGGAAACAAAGACTTGCACGAACTGTGCCCAGCTCCTTATCGATCCGGGTGCAAGGTTTCGGTACCATGTACGGGCTACCCCTTTGAAGGTGGTGGAGAAAGCCACGCACATACAGGATTCACTGGCCCTTTCCAGGTGCATCTGGGACTGGAAGGCGTCCACATGGTCATTCGGGTCAAAGGATCCGTCATACTTATCTAGTGGGGGAAGCTTGAAATCCTTTGGCATAGGAACAACAAGGAGTTCTGGCGACAGAGGAGAAGGAACTGAAAGAAGTGGGGTAACTTTTACTTCACCCAAGCTTACCTCCTCCTTACCCTGGAGCTCGGGCAGATCGTGAGTGGGAGCTCAGCGAGCTCGGCGGCACCTCCGCTGCTTCCATGCTGGCTCGGCGTTGGTGCTACTGGCTTCGGCATTACCGAGCTCGATGGGCCCAGGGAGGGGCTCGGACTTCTGCTGGTAGCTGCGAACTGAGGGGCCTTGCCTCAAGTCTATGGCCAGCACAGACTGTGAGTGCTGAGGCGACGCGGGCCTAACTAGCTGGGAGGCCCCTGACTTGACTGCAGGCTGCGAGGCAGGGGTAGCTGGTCTCTCTTTTCCGCCATGAGATGATGCCGAGGTCTCTCCTCGGCGAGAAGGAAGTTCGTTCCGATGGCGGGGCTTAGCTTGCTGCGTGGTCGGATGCCTAGGAGGGAGTGGCTGCTGGGCCTGAGGCAGTAGGGGAAACTGCTGTTGATACTGATACTGGGAAACTTGGTGCAGCACTTGCTGCTGATAAAGTTGAAGCTGTTGGAACTGTTGCATTTGAGCTTGCATAGCTCGCATGCACTGCATCAGGTCCTCAAGCTGGCTTTGGTTGGCCACCGGAGGGATGACGGAGGGTTCAGCGAAGGTTGTTCCAATCGCAGGGGGAAGTGGAATGTACACAGGTGCCACTGTCTGAGGCACACTCAGACTGGGAACTCCGTCCGTAGAGAGGGGGACGGTGAGCTGTCCGATGCAGACAGTGGGAAGTTGGGGTTGTTCCTCAGAGGTGTTTCGGTTTGCACCTTGTCTGACATTGCTGGAAGAAGCCATGAATGCTGAATTTTTTAGAGAGAGTTGTGGAGATTAGAGGAAGGCTTTTTGAAGTGTTTCCCATAGACGGTGCCAAATGATGCTGCGCGATCCGGGCACTCATAGCTGGCGGAAACCTGGCTCCTAGCTGGTGACGGATGGTACCTGAGGCGAAGAAGAAGGTGAAGAATTCCCGAGGGGCTCGCCCGGCGGGAACACTCTGATGATTAAGTTAGAACTCTAAGAGAACTGAAGAATACAAACAAAGAGCTGAGAGAGCAGATAACACAAGTTCATTACCTCTTCTCTTCGAGTGTCGAGGTCTTTTTATATTGAAGATCTCTCAAATCAGGTGTAACCGCCTCTGCCACATCCGTTACTACCAGAGCCGAGGTGGCGGATGTGGGCAGCCGTTGCAGGGTACGGACCTGTTAGGCGTGCCATATCTGGCAGAAGTAGCAGGCACGACGCCGCCTGACAAGAGACGTGGGCGCAGCCTCCAGATTCGATAGGTACTATTGTTAGGCAGATCTTTTCTGCAGGTTGTCGAGCTACTTTCCGTCGAGCTGCCTTGGTCCGAGCTACCCTACACCGGGGTGCTGGGGGTAGCCGAGGTGCGAGTGCTTAAGGCGAACCTTAGGCAAGTATGGGCAGGAGCGGTAATGGGGCTATCCTGAAGTGTCCCCACTTCAGGATACTTCCCGTAGATCGGGGTGTTCCCTTCTCAGGAAGGAAGAATTTGGGACCCACTGGGAGGAGCTCGGGTCTCAGGAGGAGTTTAGGAGTCCTCCTCCCTTAGGGAGAATTCAGAGTATGCTGGATGTTTCTTCTTGGCGAGCTGCCACGTCCATCGAGTTGTATTGCTGGGCTCCGACGAATCCAGTACAAGTTATGGCCAGACTGCCACATTGATCTGTTACTTATGCTAGGTTATACCCACGTGTCCCCATCTTACGAGATCGGGCCAAATCATCCTCCATCATAAACGATTTATTCTGTGGGGAATGCTTGGACTCGGGTGGAGGATGCGGATATAACTCCACCTTGGAACAACCCACTTGCTTTTGCCCTGRCGGGGCTTACCCAACTACGTGTCCGCCAGGACCCTCGGGTATGTAAACACCTTTTCTTGGATATTGCTTTTACTATTTTGATACACCCGCTGGCCGCTGCTTTGAGGGATGCAAATGGATTGGATTCAATCTGGCGAATCCGATTCGTTTAAGTTTGCAGTTGGATTGTTCATTCAATCATAATCGGATCAAATTCCAACACATACACAAAATACTAGTTTTTAGTATCAATCAAACCTTTTAGAATTAAGTAGGTTCATTCTTATATATGTATGCTGACTTTTATACAGATTCACTAACACTACAATTCAATTGGATTGGAGGAGTCAGATATCAAATCGAAATTGAATTTATATTTTGCATATCTATTAGCTATCGAATTTCTTGGATTCTAATCAGATCGAATTCAAATATATCCTTGGTGAATTTGATCTGATCATTTTGCAAAACCCTACTTGATCCGTCTGGTAGTGCTGGTGCACTCCAGCCAGCAAATGTAAAATTCTAGTTGTGTTAGGGTCCTCAATGCCCCGGACTGAGTGAGTGCAAACTATGCAATGTGTTACACGACGCAGCCCGGGGGAAAAGAGTTTTCAGTGTACACATATCATCCTATTAGTCAAAATTGAAACGTGGACCCGTTCATTTCAGAGTTGTTGAATGTTGGTTTCAAGCCCATCTTAATCATACTCGCGTCATCTGTAATTTGATTTTTTTTTTTTTGTTGTCATCTAGAAAAGAAAAGGAATTGAAATCAAAGAGAGGATTAAGGTGATATCCATTTTATTTTTCAATAAGAGAATTGATATTCCTTTTCAAGTGTGCCATGTGTACATACTTAATGTCGATCGGCTATGTCAATCACCTCAGACTTGGAAAGTTGAGGTTAATTTCTGAATTATGATCAGAACTCTAACGCCAATAAATGGTCTACTTTACTTTATGAATGCTTATATATCTAGTTACCACAATCTTCAATTAAACTAATTGATAGGGAGCAAGTTCGAAGGAGAGGGTAGAATAACTTGTGGAAGCAAACGCTTTGCTGGAGTATTACTTAAGATACTCTAGACATGGGGTTAGGAGCACAATTCTTAGATAAAACAGTTTTGGTTGTCTTTGATACCGATTCCCGTCTATACCTTTTGGGTTGATCTAACATAAATTGGTGAAATATGTAGTCTTAAGTCACATCACATCGAAAATCACATCAACTAAAATAATGCGTGTGTGTGGTTGATCATGGAAAACAAAAACAATTTAACTGATATGGCAGTTGTTTTTATTTTCAAAAATAAAATCAACCATGTATTGGAAAGGAACCCCTCTTAAATATGATGTTTCACATAGAAACAATAATTTGTAGTGATAAACTCAAAAGTTTCAGGTAGAAAAAATAATCAACTTTCTCACAAATTTGTATTCTTCATCCAAAACTTTGGCATAGAAACAGCAATTAATGGTTCCCAATACAACATTGAATAGATTAGATACTGCTTTTCTTTGCTTCATTAGATAAGTGTATTTTTACTGTTTGAAAATTGACTGACATTACACTTATTATTTCTGACAATTGTCTAACTCTACCTTATCTTTAGCAATTGTTAATATTTCCTCAAAACCTGTACAAATGTTACATCACATGACATTTAAAATTTTTTTAAAGCCCAATGTTATCCTCATCCCCTTCCTCTCAACAGGCACTCCCTTCCCCCTCCGACCTCTCTCTCTTTCCTCTATCTTCCTCCGACTATCTCCATCAATACCAGATCAGTTCGCAAATCAACATTCTTACCAAGATCAACCCTCCGTTGAGCTCTAGAGCTAACAAACAGAGATTACTCTCCATCAACACCAGATCGGTTCCTAAATCAACAATCTTATTAAGATCAACCCTCTATTGATCTCCTAAGCTAAGAAAGACAATGAACAATTAAACTCTCATCACTCCATTGAGATCCTGAACTAACAACGAAGACAGGTCACCTGAATCCTCTGCTCTCGTCACTTTGTTCTTCGTCGAAGACGATGAACAGTTAAACTCTCATGAAGTCCTCCCTTTTACCGCCTTTTGTCTTTCATTCGTTGAAGTACACGAAGACCTGCAAGGAAGGAAATAGTTAAACTCAGCCTCAAAGGCTCTCAGAGCTTTGCAAATCATTAAAGGCAGATGAACCCATCTCTGTTTCCTGTGCTACAGGCAATCCTGATGTGGTTGCGGATGAATCCCGTCCTGGGTTGGGTCTATTCTTCTGAAACTCTTATTCTGACATAATTCTCATCTTCTTCCCTTGTTTCTTCGTCTTGACACGAACCTAGTCAATGCAGGGTGACTTTCGAGGACGGGGGCTCGGGAGTGTCGAATGTAGAACCTCAAACCGTGCTTAAGATGAGATCTAGTTCTCATCTTCTTCCCTCAAGAATTGGAATGACTCAATCTCCAGCTGAGTCCTTGCCATCACACATCAGTTGATGTTGGTCGCCAGTGGTCTCATAATGGCTAGGGTTCACATGAGAGAAGGTTGGAGGGGAGTTTGAATGAGAGGGAAAAGTCCAACCCGGGTGGGAGCAGCTGGGCATTTAAAGGACTTGGGTTAAGAGTATCGACAACATAGGAGAAAAAGGGTTCCTTGTAGATCGAAGCGGTGAGAAATTAACACCCACCTATCGAAACAAATCATCATCGACAATGAGTAGCTACATTGAAGAAGAAGCAGACGACGGGCCAGATCTCAGATCTGGGTTCCTTGCAGATTTGAGATCTCCAACATTTCTCACCGTCGCACCGTCATTCGGAAATTGCAGCGACAAGCGTCGCGAGCGAAGGCGATGGTGCTCCTCTCTATTCTTGGGTGCTCTATTGATCTCCATCCTTTGGTGGGGTTTTTAAATCCTCTTCTGGTGAAACATTTTGAAAATCCTCTATTGATCTCCATCTAAAGCAAAAGGCAGCAATCTAAGGTTAATCCAGCAGAGCCTAGCGGCAGCTGATGTTGTAGTGTTTCCTTCGAATAGAGATCGGTGGCCATCGGCGGCCACTCATCCATGCTAAGCGAACCCGCACATATAGGTTAAAACAGTAATTTTGCCGATCAAATATTTGAGTTAAAGGGTAAAATGGACATTTTAGACTTTCTGTCCATGTTTAACAACATTGATAAGATTTAGATAATTATAGAAATAGTAGGAGTAGCGTCAATCAATTTTTAAACAGTAAGGATACACTTGGTCAATTAACTAAACTATAAAGATAGTTTAAGAAATTTATCCATATATTAATCATACATCTACAAATAACAGAAAAATTTGAATGGTCTACTTTCATTAATGTGTACTACTTCTTTTCTGTTGGGGCCATTACATATGGTGTAGGGTTTGCTTGATGACAAAAGCATCATGAGTATTGATCATGTGATGACAAGGGTATCCTTTTTACTCAGAGGTCCACAGGACTTGAAGATCTGAAACTGTCTTAGTTCTTGCATTTCTTTACTTTATGGTTATGAGCATCGATCTAAACTCTATATATTGTCACATGCCGAGCCTTTATGCAGGATTATATCATTCATCTGTTATCCCTTGGATTGACAATTTCATTCAACCTGATAGGCTATAATTTTGAGATCTTGCAAAATAAGTTTCAAGTAATCCGATTATGTTTTCTAATGATATGTTATCTCGTCTTTATTCTGCTGCAGGGAAAACAGGAAATTGGGTTGCAATAGGTAGTACACCTAGCAAAGTCTAATTTCTTCTATTCATTCTCCATTCACCCATTGATTTACATCTCTCTCTGTCTCATTATCTCCTTTCATTGCCCACAGCTGCATCAACTGGAGGAGGTTTTGCTCTTATCGCAATAATAATTATATTCTGTTGGATGAGAAAGAAAGTCTCTTCAGATAATGTAATTCTCTCTCGAAGCGGGAAAACAAAGAATATTCAAAATGTAGAAGCGTTCCTAAAGAGTTATGGATCCTTGACTCCAACAAGATACAAGTATTCAGATGTCAAGAGAATGACGAATTGCTTCAAAGATAAATTAGGCCAAGGAGGTTATGGTGGTGTATTCAAAGGAAAACTAAGTGATGGTCGTCTCGTGGCTGTGAAAGTATTGAATGACTTCAAAGGCAATGGAGAGGAGTTCATTAATGAGGTTGCAAGCATTAGCAGGACTTCCCACGTTAATATTGTCACTCTCCTAGGTTTTTGCATCGAGGAACACAAAAGAGCTCTGATCTATGAGTTCATGCCGAAAGGATCTCTTGAAAAATTTATTTATTGTGGAACACCAACAGAAACTCCTCACCTCGAATTTGAAATACTATGCAAAATTGCAGTCGGAATTGCTCAAGGGCTAGAGTACTTGCACCGTGGTTGTAAGACGCGAATAGTACATTTTGACATAAAGCCACATAACATTCTTTTAGATGACAACTTTTGTCCGAAGATCTCTGACTTTGGGCTTGCAAAACTATGCCCCAGAAACGAAAGTATACTATCGATGACAGGTGCCAGAGGGACTGCAGGATACATTGCACCAGAAGTGTTCTCGAGAAACTTTGGAGGGGTCTCGCATAAATCGGATGTGTATAACTATGGTATGATGATTCTAGAAATGGTTGGAGGAAGGAAAAATATTCAGGTAGAAGTCGATAATACAAGCGAAATTTATTTTCCACACTGGATTTATAAGCGTCTTGGGCTAGAAGAGGATTTAGGACTGCATGGAATTACAAATAATGTGGAAGGAGAAATTGCTAGAAAGATGATTTTGGTGGGTTTGTGGTGCATACAAATAGACCCAGCAGATCGGCCATCGATGAGTAAGGTGCTAGAAATGTTAGAAAGAAATGCTGATAGTCTACTAATCCCACCTAAGCCCTTCCTTTCATCCCCACCAAGATCACCGACAAGATTTTCGACCGTGTCAATATCATAGAGTTAGTAAATGTTGTTGCATTTTTAAGCTTATCCTGTAGCTATGGCAAAGTACGTACGTAGTACAGTATTTCTTCACATTATCTTTTACACGTATTTTTCATTGTAGTAAGGCGCAAATATCATGTCGATAAACTGCTGGAAATGGCTGCTAATCTCACGGATAGAATAAGGAATACTTGAATAGTTAATGCATGCCTAAAAAAGATAAGTGAACAAATGAAATCAGAAAAGATGTTGCCTTACAATAGTAGATTATGTTAAAATAAATACAAAAACATGAAATCTTACATGAGTCGTCCTGTTTTAAACTTGCACATAGAAGGACAAGATTATTATTGATTGGTTGTAGAACTTGTTAAAGGTGAATGATCAATTTTAATTTCATGTTATTATTATATTTAATCATAATCAGGGTTTGTTTGGTTCGCAGTTGGAATTGGAATCAGAATTGGAATTGGAATGGTCCATTTCCATAATCCATTTGGTTCAGACAGGAATGAGAACGGGAATTAAAATCAGAAGGAATGAGATCTATCCCTAAGGGGTAGAGAATGGCCATTTCTTCAAATGGGGAAATGGGATTCCGATTCCTCCCAACCAAACAGTTAGAACCGGAATAGCCCATTTTGATTCCGATTCCAAACCCTTATTCTCACGAACCAAACGGGGCCTCACTCATAATGCCATTCATTATACTGTACAGCTGGGTGGGATACGAATGAGTTTTTCAAAGCATATATTCACTTCTAGTTCTTCGTCAAAATCTGAAAGGAAAATGGTTATAGGCTTATAGCCTTCAGGGAATATCCTCAACAGGTTGAGACAAGTCTTCTATGGTTCACTCCAGGTGGCCTTTAAATCACCTCATTATTTGTTGTATGAATCCCACTTTAGAGGTGTGTATCCCCTAGTGAAGTAGATCCATAGTTACCTAATGACGTATTTTCGCATCCTTGAGGCAGATTCACAACTGTGCTATCCCCATATAACACTCTTAGAGCTATAATGTGGGTTGGCCTACTTTTGTGGGCCATGTTGACATGCAGGCCTTGGTGGGTCGTTAATGTTCAGCACAAATATTCTAAGGTTATGTTCGCTTTTTGGTAAGTTATTTACCCGGGTAAGTGTTTCTCAGTAAAGACTTATCCGGGTAATTGCATTTACTCATTTTCTTTTATTTTCCATATAAATAAAGCAATGATCATTTTAACCATAAAAGTCCATTATTAAAAGGGCACTTTTGTTCCATTCAAGTGTTAGCAACTCCACGTAGGAGATGGGTATCACTTATTCAGGTAAGTGGTACACAGGAAAATAAACTTTCCTTGGTCCCCACATAAATCTGAAAAACAAAAACATAGGATTCTTGGTCAATGAGAATCAAAATCCCATTGACCAACTTTCCCCCCTCTCAAAATCAAGAAAAATAACACCCCCAAAGAAGGAAGCCCAGCATGGCCCAAGGCCCAAATCCTAGCTAGCATGTGCTGGCCCGAGCCCACAAGTTTGCCTTTTTGACTTTCTTTGTTTTTTTCTAAGTAAAGATGACAAAGAATTAACAAAAAAATACAAAATAGTAACAAAAATACAAACGCTTAACAAATTAGACAAATTTAAAAAAAAAAAACTAAAAATAATTGGTCATGCCGACATGGTCTAATTATACTGGCCATGCCATGCCAACCTACAGGACTCATGCTCACTTTACAATTCTAAACACACTTTACAGTGCTTACTTTACAATTCTAAACACACCTATAAAAATGCAATTACCTAGATAAGTGTATTTACCTATATGCTTTTATTTCCAGGTAAATAAGAAGATGACCATTTTATCTCTAAAAAGTCATTATTAAAAGGGGCAAATAATTCTCAGGTAAATAAGACCATGATCATTTTACCCATTAAAATGGACCATTTTAAACCCTAAAAAATCTATTAGTTAGAAAATAAATTTTGTTAATCTTAAAATAAATTACTTCAAGGATTTTATCAAATTAGAGTCATTAAAATAACAATAGTTAATTTAATAGTAAATAATTAACAAAAATTAAGAGTAAATTATTACTTAACCACTAACTTAATTGGTGTAAATAGTAAATTAACAATCACTTAATTTACTTAATTAACTTAGTTAACTTAGTAACTCAATTTTCTAATTAAACTAATTAAACTAATTTCTTTACTTCTTTAATAGTAATTTAATTTACTTATTTACCAATTTATCACTTTGGCCACTAGTTTTTGGGTATGGTTTCACCGTCCAGTCCAAATGGATCAACCCATTACATTTTGAAAAATAAAAAATATATAATTAAAATAAAAATGACCCAAAATCCATTTATCAGATCGAAAAGTTTAGCAGTTTAACCGTTTGGGTCAATTTGTTGTTGACCAACTCAATGTCTTTTTCTTTTAATTTCAGGCCAAGTACAAAATGGAATTGGACAATTGACTGATTTCCTGGATCAAATGGTTTGACACCCAATCATTGACGATTTTAAAACCATGTAATTAAGTAAATTAGGCTAAATAAATAGAGAAATTAAAGAAATTAAGATAATTAAACTAAATAAGTAAATTAACCCAACTATGTAAATTAAACAATTCAATAACTAGGGTGGGGATTGGGGATAGGAAAATTTTCATCCCCATTAGAAGAGCAAATCCTGCCCCGTGGAGACCCCGATCCCGCCTCGTGGGATCCCACTAATATATATGTATATATGTATGCATACGTTATATATATATCTATATATATGCTTAAATCTTTTGTAATAGGATTGTAAATTTTAATGATTTTATTTTATTTAATAAAATAAAAAGCAAAAACAAAATGATTAATATTATAAAAAATCACAAGGAATGGAAATCCACGCAGGGATGGAAATCCCCATGAAGGCGGGGATGGGGATAACCTTGTCTCCCTTAACGAGGACAAGGACGAGGGCAGGGATGGGATTTTAGCAGGGATTTAGGAGAGGCTCCCCGTTAGGGGTATCAACGGTATTCGAAAATCCAATTTCGAATTCGATATTCGACATAATTGAATCGAATTCGAATAATTCAAAACTCTAATTGATCGAATTTGGATATCCTATTTTTACCAAATAGTTAGTTGGATTTGAATTCGGATATGACCTGATTCGATTCAATAAATATCCAAATTCAACTGATTATTTAATTCTTATATATAATATAAAATTTTTTATATAATTTATATATAATAATTAAGTTATATAAAAAATTTATATATTTATATACTTTATATCAAATAAAATATTTATTTTTATATATTTATTAATTGTCTAAAATAATTAATCAATTAAATCGAATATTCGAATATTTAATTGAATCTGAATTCAGATATTAATTTTCAATATCCGTCAGATATGGAATCAAATTCGGATATCATATTCAAATTCAGATGTTGCTTGATGTGATTCGAATTTGATCCATTTATACCCCTACTCCCCATCCCCGTTCCGCCCTTTCCCTTTGCCATTCTTATTAACCAAGGCCCATCCCGCTTTAATATATAACTAGCGAAGTAACCTGTGCTCAGCACAGGAGTGAGAAAATAAAACGTAAAGTAAAAATTGAGTACGGTTCAACTTCAACTAAATTTGTAAGAAAGATAAACCGATTAATTAAATATATGATTTTATTGTAGAAAAAAACAGACCGAATTAACTTGAAAAAAACGTACCAAAAAACGAAATTGGATTAATAGGCACTAAATTAGGGTTTCTACAGTTCATGAGAAGAGAAACGAAACTCTATCAAATTTCATAACGTAGACAAATTGAAAAGGCAATTTGATGAGGAAGAATGGCATTATTAGAGAGAGATACAATAAATACTAAAACTTCAATGCATATAGATTCAGAATATCTATGAATTGAATTACAAGAAATTCAGAAACAAGTAACAAGGCATTTCATAAAAAAAAAAAAACAGAAATTAACCAAAAAAATTAAATCCCAAATGTTCTAAGAAGAAGAAGCCGCTTAATTGTAATGCTACTAGATGCAGTTTTCAAAAATCAATCAAGGATTTATAAGTGGCAGCTGTTTAGTATTGGAATCATCTTGGACTCATCCACCTCTTCAGATCCCAAGCTCCACGACCAATAAAAAAATAACATGAAAATTATGGATTATGTACTGAAGAAGACATTTTAATGAAAAAACATGAAGTTTCAGTTTTTCACAAATAATTTCCAACTTAAGAAACTTTGCAGAGCATAGTAATTAACAGAGGAAAACCACCTAATATATTTGGATTCTCAGTACTAATTCCTCCAACAAAAATAACTGTACACGTGGCAACTTGTTTTGGTGTTGAACCCCAAAAAAATGTTGGTGTTCTTTATTCGTTCCCTCCTTTTTAATCCTCGGTTCTTCACCACATATTTTCGGAGAAGCCCAAAGCCTTTCTATAGTTCTATTCTTCTATCATCGTCATTATACAAAAGCGGTGATAAGGATCTTATTATGGACATATTATACTGAAAAAGAAAAGAAATAGAAAAACCTTCTCGTTGGATCATCGCTGTTATGAATAATGCCATTATGTTGAAATTTTCCCATTAATGGAGAGAGGGTGGCAATGGCAAGAGTGGGGCTCTGTCTTTGTGATGGGGACCATGGGGTTTGGGCTTGGTGCTGCTGGATTGTGGGAAAAGTTGCAATCAATTTTCCCAGATTTCTTAGATGTTATATCTTAATACAGAATCAGGATTCATAATAGATGTTTTGTGTCTGTGATGACTAACTAAGACAGTTGGAAGTTGGAAGTAAGAAAGAGATTACTGTTCGGTTTCTTCGGTAATCTCCTGCAACACTAAATACTGTAGAGCCGTGGAGAATTTTGCAAATCGCTTTTTGTTTCTTGTGGAGCCACTCCCCGGAGCACTGCCGCTGCTTGTCAGAATGAAGGATCCCGATCCATCCCCGAAATCCAGAGACTCAATCTAATTACATTCTTTTGTAAGTCAAACGAAGAAAAAAAAATAAACTGGGCGGAATTGGAAAAGTCTGGGAAAAGATTGAAAAGTTGTCAATAAACATGGATGGACTAAGAACAAATGGGTTGGATGGTTTTAGGGATTTATGTTAGGGTTATTAATACATCTTGTAAACTAACCTTCAATGGTAAAAATGGAGGGAATCCATCTCTTGTAGATGAACAACAACCTTGGAGTATCGCCATGGTGGGTATCAAATAACAAGAGCCTGCAGGGCTCTCCTGACGCCAAGCTCTCACTGTTATATATAAAGAGCTAAGAATCAGAAGAAAACAACCAAACAACGCTTCAAGCAAAAAAAATGTAGACTATGGGAACAGAATAGTTACTTGGCATGGGCGATGGCATCCCTGCACAAGGCCAGAGTTCGAACCATGGCGAGGTCTCTTCCTCTTGGATTACCCAGTCTCTCTTTACAATCTTGCAAGTAGAAGTGTGGAGCCAAAACGGCAAAACCGAAACCAGGGTACTTCTCGGTTCTGAGGAGCATAAACACAAACACATGACTGACTTGACTTACTTGTCATCGAAGAAATCTCCGAAATCATCGATTACAACGGTTGTTGGGTAGGTTCCGAGTTCGTGCAGGTGAAATCCAGCCAAGTATTTGTTGATCCCCTCGTAATCTTCTACATACCTGGCAACGAACAGAAATGCTTGGATAGATGTAAATTATTAGTAAGGAAAAGTGAATTTCTTGATATCCTAATGGACAATGCTCTCACTCGCACTCACTTCATCCGTATTCGGTTAAACACATCAGACGAGGCATCGATGCCCTGCAAGCAACATTCAAAAATGAATTACTGATTACATTACATACAGATACAGGTTAAAATGGAAAGAAAAACAGAGAGAGTAGTAATAAATGTAAAATACCTGGGATAAGTAAGGGGGTTTGGACTCTAACCTGCGGCGGTTGCAGATGAAGACGACATGACAATGGGTTACTGTAAGCGGAATTAAAAGCGAACTGGAAGAGGAGAGATGTCTTACCGCATGTGGGAGGCCCTGAAAGGAGCACCATTTGGCTGCTGCTGCATCCTTTTCCTTCTCGATGTGTTGTTTCGTGGATAAGAAGAAGAACCTCTCTACCATTCTCCCAGCAATTTGGGTGCGAATGTTAAGCAGGGTTTGGGGTGTGCCGAACTCATAGGAACTAAAGAACACATGAACTCCGAGTAAGTTACACTGATATGATTCATTTCAAGTTTTCAACTGTACCAGAGAGGGAGAGGGACTAGGACGAGAGAGTGAGAGAAGAGGGAAAGCAGGGGAGAAAGACGTGTCAGTTACATTGGGAAGGCCCATCTCGCAGTTTTCGCACGAAGAAAATGAATACACATGCCGATATCGCAAGAAGAAAAGGCCACGTCGCCTTAACGAAGGCCCATTCTGTTTTTAGGATATACTAGCGAAATTATCCGTACTGAGCACGGGTTTTTATATTTGTATATTTTTAATTTTTTTGTTGAAAGTGTTTTGTTTGTTTATGCTTGTTATTAATGCATGCCGTCACCATTAATTGAATAATTAAATTTAGTGTAAGAGACTTTGGGAGATATTAATTATATTTGGTTGGTGTAGTGATATAACATTATAGCTAGATTATAGAATTTAAATTTTTTATCTATATTAATTTAGACAATATACCGAATTATAAAATTATTGAATATATATGATACTAAAAATGCATATATATTGAATCTTGAAAAGTGAAGGATGTGTTCAGATATATGGTTAAAGGCGGTGTTGATATCATGTATCTATCTATCTATATATTCTTTCCTTTTTTTTATTTTATTCCTCTCCTTTTGATTGATGTAAATCTTCTCTCTCGAGATGCTTTGTTTTGTTTATTGCCTGGTTGAGATATTCTTTATTTTCAAGCATCGATCTTACCATCTCTTAACTGAAGTCTTTTTTGTTTCAATGCCTCTTGACCTTTCTTTATTTTTATACCTATTTTGTTATCACTTTTCTTATTATCTATTGTTTCTATCAATATTTTATGTTTGGTTGTTTCATATACACATACTTTATCTCTTATATACTATTACATATATTCATTTATTTTTTTTTTCTTTGGATGGGGAGGATAATCACTCGTTCTGTTAAAGTTGGTAGGGCGTGATTTATTGTGACAAATTTATAATTGTAATAGCAACAAATTCATATAAAAGTTAATTATTTAATTTATATGTATTTTCCTATAATTTTAATTTTTCTTAATGAAGTGAAAAATTCAAAGGTGGTTTTTCTTCATGCACCAATAATAACTAAGGGCGTCTTCGGGCATTTTCAAAAAATAATAATAATAATAACAAAGGGGCCAAAAAATCGCGTTTGTACAACAATTGAATGGCTACGATGGAATCTATCAGAACAGCACGGTGTCTCTAAATACTTCTATATGCGTGCCACTTGACAATGGTGTACTGTCACTGTAAGCCTAGTAGCTAAGCACATGGATTAAACCTAAACGATCAGAGAAAAGATCTGAAATGTCAAGTTGATTATTCTATTTAATTTCGATAACTTGAGGTAGAAAGCTACCAGGTCCAAAATTACCAAATCACTCCGAGGTTATCTGAACGTGAATAACGACGAATCCGAAATGAATGAAAGAGGCAATGGTAATCCTGAAATATATAGAAATGGACAAGTACGGATACATATATATGAAACGGACAAGTACGGATACATATATGAAACGGACAAGTACGGATAGTTTCATATAGAAACTATGAAAGGTTTCGGGCAGTTCAACTTTTTTTGGATGTTATTTTTTTTATTTTTCTGATTTATTTTAATATAATATACAGCGTGGCTCAAACAAGTGGCAGAAAATTCAGTAGTTTTTTTCTTCTTTTGTTGTGCTCTTCTTCCTCCTTCGGAGAGCTTTGGTTTGTGGGTATTTTGTTTTGCAGGGGAAGGGGGTTTTAGAAGTTGCAAACATTTCTCTGATCTGGAGGGAAGTGGAAGGACAGTAGCTGTCTGGGCAGCGAGCCTGCCTCAGTTCTTGATACGAGAAGGAGCCCAAGCCCTCCTGCATCTACCTCAACCCTGTATTCTTCCTTGAGCAGAGGCGGTGGCTCAACCGGCACAGCCGTCGTGTTGGTGGTTTCCGATAATCTTCCACAGAAATGGCCACTTACCCAGCAGCAAGAAGACAGATCGGCTGCAGTAGCTGAACCCGGAAGTTGCGTTGGGGGTGGTGGTGGTTCCCGGAAGGACGAATGGGCCGCGGCGCCACTGGAGTGGAAAAATGTGGCCTTGGAATGGAAGACTGGGAGAGTATGTTGTCGGAGACCTACGCAGTTGTCCGAGTAACAATCATCACTATAAGCGTCGTGGCGTGGATGATTAATGAGGAGGCTTTCAGCAAAAGGACCCATTGTCATATTGGAGAACCCAGAAACCAAAATCGCAGGCCTTGATTCTTCCTTGTGTTTTGTATTCAATTCCATCGATGGTTACGTTAGGGAAGGGTTCTTCAAATGATCATCTCACGTCTTAAACTAGGCAAGGAGAATAGCGGAGGAGGTAGCCATGGACGATAGCAGGAGAAGATAACACAGAACGAAAAGCTTTCATATGACGAAAAACTTCACGTGCGGATAGCTCATCCGGCTGGAAGCGATTTTCGCACGCTAAAACAAATTTCACGTATGGATACCAATTGCTGCGGGAAGAAAAGGCCACGTCGCCCAGACAAAGGCCTTTCCCAGCTTAGTATATATATATGAAAAGTCAGTTTTTTTTTTTTTTTTTTTTTTYTAACTTTGGTCATTTGCCGCCGCCTTGCCTTACTCGGTCGAAGCTCTCCCTCCCTCTCCCCTTTTATCATGAATCCTACTCTTCATATTCCGTGTTCTGTCTGCTTGCCTTCAATTCCTTTCTTTCTTTGAAATATTTCATCATCATTATCCCTCACATATTCTAATCTTATTGTCTGAGATATCGTCGCAGATGCATCCCCACCTCTTTCCCTCTTCTTACCTCGTCTCCCTCCTCCTCTTCATCTCTATAATCCACCTTCCCCATTCTTTATATGAGGACGATTGGAGGTACTCCAAGACATTTAATTGTGGAGATTTCAAAAACATCGGCTATCCTTTTTGGGGAGGTGATCAACCCGACTATTGTAGTGGTCATCCCGACCTTCAGCTCCACAGTCGAGATGGTTTTGCAGAGATTGATCTTATTGGGTAAGTTACACTATAGTAGCAGAAATGAATCTAAAACCAATTTTAGGACAACAAGAAATATTCCTTCAAATTTGTGTGTCAAAATGGGTTTGCCAATAATAATAATAACAAGTAAATAATTTAGCCAAGTAACAGAAAAATAGATAACAATCACCCCACAATAGCACACCGTAATTTTTAGGTGAAAAACCCCAAAATCGGGGAAAAACCACGGGACCTATTGTCTGTAAAAGTCTTCCACTAATCCAGAAATTAATGGGTACAATAGTCTTCTCTAATTGCAACTAGAGGCTTACAAATATCAAGGAAATAATCCTTGGCTCACAAGAATAGCATTAACATCACCAAATGCAAAGTGGATACAATACAAATATAAGTTTAGATCTCACCAAGTTGCTGTAAATCTGATCTGAGAAGTAGAGAAAATGAAGAAGAATCACCAAATCTGAACTGGAGTGGGATTCTTAACTCCAACACTTAGTATCATCAAGAGCGGGCTTGAAAGGCACCTCCGAACATGGTCTTGAATGGAACAAGAGCCAGCTTTTTCCTCTTCTTCACAAAAAAAAAACTTTCTTTTTGGTTATGTAATTTTTTTCGTCTTCTTCGTTCTTCTCTGTTCGGTGGTTACTAATTTGACGCCACCAAAAAAAAAAACAAGACCGAATAATGTGGTAACCCACTATTCGGCTCCCTCTTCTTTAGGGAGTAAATGAAGGTGGGGTGGGCCCCTCCATATGAGTTGGACCCACACCCAACAATTCTCCCCCTCTTGCTCATATGGGGGGCTTCATCAAGCCCGCAACTTCTTTGCAAAATTCAAATTTGTCTCTAGGCAAGGACTTTGTTAACATGTCTACACCATTATCATCAGTATGAATCTTCTCAATGTTTAACAACTTCATATCCAACACATCCCAAATCCAATGGTACCATACATCAATATGTTTGGATCTTGAGTGGAAAGTTTGATTTTTAGAGAGATGGATAGCACTTTGACTGTCACAATAGAGAACATATCTTTCTTGCTTCATACCCAATTCTTGTAAGAACTTCTTCAACCAAAGGATCTCCTTACAGGCTTCTATAGCTGCAATGTATTCAGCCTCTGTAGTAGACAATGCAACACACTTTTGAAGTTTGGATTGCCATGAAATTGCTCCCCTTGCAAAAGTCATTAAATACCCGAAGTGGACTTTCGGGAATCAACATCACCAGCCATGTCTGCATCAGTGTACCCATCCAACATGACTTTACCATTCCCGAAGCATAAGCATATCTGAGAAGTACC